GACAGGGTCAAAGATGTTTCTTTCTCCACAGCGCCCAGACCAGCTTTGAGACTGAACCAGCATCCTGCCCAGGTACCTGAGGCTATTGTCCAGCAAGTAAAACGGCCGGGGATTGAAGTAGACCATTGATCTCAATTCAGCGCCGAGGTTAAGATGCGCACGTCTTCATGACGTGGTGTTTAATTAAACAGAGGCAAACCTTCATTTTTACCTTTCTATTAATCACAAATGAAAACCCTTTATTTCGAGAATTATGTCCGAACCAGTGATCGTCAAGACACACGACTGGGAAGTGTAACACTGTGCTTAGACCTGTTGATTTCTGACATAGCATAAACACCACAGTGCTTCAAGTTATGAATTAGACTTCCCACCCCCCCTTGGCACTACAGCCCCAGTGGGCCTAGGCCTACCTCCATGAACTCCGTTCACTTCGGTTTACTAGATCTTACACATACGGTAGGACTCCTTGGACGGGTGATCAGCTCGTCGCAAGGCCTCTACCTGTAGACAAACACAGAACAACGCACACAAACATCCATGCCCTGAGTGGGATTCGAACCCAGGATCCCGGCTTCCGAGCGAGCGAAGACAGTGCATGCCTTAGACCGCTCGGCTACCGTGACCGGCTTAGACAGACTTACGAAGCAGAAATACCACAAATCACGCGATACTTCGGCCTGCTTTTTGTAATTCACACACTACGCCGAAGCATTTACAGCAAACAACATACATCTTCGATACTTGTGTGCAGTATATGGAAGGCATGCACAGTGGAGAGGTCGTGTCCTACTATCTGAATCTTAGAACTACTAAACAGATTTATATTACATTTCGTACTAGGGGAATTTTCTCTAAAAGTTGTACAGTGAATGAAATTTTGGAACTATCGGCCCAAAGCAAACTGTACGTAAAGCCTAAATCGAAATTATCCGAGTTTCTCAAAAATACCACTCTCATGCAGTAAACTGGCATATGAGATGAAATATATAATTTAGATTACATTCGTATTTGTCGTTCATTGGGGGCACGAGGTAGCGTAGTTGGTTGAGGCACTATGCTACAAGCCGGCAGGTTGCGGGTTCAAGTCCCGATAAGGTCATTGGATTTTTTTTTTCAGTTGACCTAATCATTCCGGTAGCACTATGGCCCTGGGGTCGACTTAGCCTCTAACATAAATGAGTACCAGGAATATTCTTCGATGTTCTTGATGGTAAAGGGCGGCCGGCGCGTAAGGCTGACCTTACCACCATCTGTGAGCCGATTGTTTAGAAAATGTGGGAACCTCAACATCTCACAACGCAATGGGCCTCCACGGCCTGTTACAGGGATAGCTTTACTTTTATTTTCTGTCGTTTATTACAATTTAAGGCTTACAGAAAAGTGTACTGGGCATAAATTGCATTTTTTTTTCGTTTCTCCCAAAACCACTATTTGAAACATTTTTTTCCCCTTCAATATTTACGTAGCTACCTCACTGCCATCTGTGAGTCAATAATCTGACGTCGGATCCTCGATGTCTCACAACGCTATCGGCCTCCACGGCCTGTTGCAGAGATAGCTTTACCTTTTATGGCCGACACGCATGCAAAATGCCCATTATTTTGTTAGTTTTAAACTAAATTTGGAGTGTCAAAATATTTTTTGTAAAACTCCCGAATATGAAATTTCGTGAGAATACGTTTACCGGATTTCCAAATCTCATATGCAGGCACATGAACAGGCAGACATGACAAATTTAAAAGTTGCATTTTTGCAACGTTTCTTCCGAAATGCAAAAAAAACAAAAAAGTCCATGCTCTGGGCGGAATCATATTTCGGTCCTCCAACACATAGCGGACCACTTTGCTCAAAATTAAGGTGTTGTGAGACATGGCGACATGTAGTTTAACGTGTAAGTACCGACGTTTGGCATGAATCTACAAAGCTACACGGCATCATACCCTAGAGCGCCGTAATCCTGGCACTCATTGCCGCTGAGAATTTCAGATCTCACACAGCCACCTTACCGATGAAATAAAACATTTAAAAACTTATGGTTGCTTTCCTTGTTATGCGGTGTCTACGTGTGTCAACACTAAACAGTATGCAAGGAATCCAGCCTTCTGTCATTATTATGTAATTGGACAGGAATAACGTCCCTATGCGCACATTCAAGCAGTCAAGGCATGAAGTGAAGGAACGAAGAGAACTAGTATATCCATTACTATCCATTTGCGATGGCAAATTCAGCGCACAAAACTTTACCTTTATTTCAGACGGATCGACGATCTCATAAAGAATGCAAATGAGCAACTGTTAATTTTCAGAAGACAAGCGAAGGAGCTGTTTTCGAGTGATTTTTACTGTGTTCATAAATTCGGCTTGCATTAACTCTTCGAAACCGGAAGACCATCTGTACAACACACAAAAATTCAGTTCCTACCTCGCAGGAAACACAGAAAGTCTTCGTTACAAAGACCAACAGTTCAATACTGTTTAGGGAAAAAATCGTTGCTTATTGTGAAAATCATGCGAAATACATACATATTCTGAATGTTTCAGCAGATGATACATACAATTATATCTGTTTTAAAGGACTGTGATACGAAGAAAGATATTTAAGAGAATATATGCGTATTATCCTACAACAATGAGAATATAAGCCTACTACCAAGACCCACCTGCATGTATATTCTGCGCTGGAAAATATCGGCGTGGTTTTCGGTCGACTCTTAGCTTTGCCGTTGGTAAGCTCAATGTGCCTCTACATGAACATCAGATCGGCCAAGGTCGACCAGATCTATCCATCTCACGACTCGCCTTCTCTCCGATGAAGGCCAGTAAATACACAAACCTAATACGTATATGATATCCTCAACTATTACCGCCCTATCGTGGGGAGGTGGTTTGGGGGACGCAGTGACTCGGAGATTTATGCTTTTGGGAACGTAAGCTCCTGATAGGGCCAACCATGCCAGACAGGTCAAAGGGTATAGGCCAGACGAAGTATAGTATCTGGTCCTCCGGGTCGAGGGTTGGGTGTGGGGCTAATGACTCCACCCCGGAATAATTTGTTATGAAACCATGGGGAAAGCCAAGAACTACATAGAATTGTAGCGCAGTAAATAAGATTAATATACGTGACAAAATTTTCAAATATGGCTAAACAAATTTTGAGTATGAAGTACATTACATTAACAAAAACAAAGCAAACAAACTCCGTGGCTTGAGTCCGCAAGCGAACTAATTACATTTCAAAAAATAATTAAATAAAAATGATAGAGGGGAAACCATACATAATTTGACCAGTGTGAAGGCGGGTTCGAATACCTCCACCGTGACCCTGCGAGTCGTAGGAGACGACGAAAAAGGAAGTCTCAAATCTGAGACAATAAAATATGGTCTCGAGTACCAAGGGACTCGGACCCGAGAAAGACTGTGCTGGCGTGGACCAGCAGCATATACAAAAGAGAGGCCCGTTCTCTCGTCAGAGAGGGCGCCTCACAAAAACAAGATCGTAACTGTCAGTCAGTCTCAATGTGACTTTGACATACAAAATTTAATACATTCCATTTTACATCTCTGCATCACTCAAAAGAGCATCCTCATAAAAGGCTAATAAGGGAGGAGACATTTATATTTTCAACGTCTTCAGGAGTTCTTTACAAAATGAAAAAAAATAATTAACTATGCAGAAGTCATTATGCTGTCCTGAAGACTGAGGAAGCAAGTTCCTCTGAAATTATAGTATCATACCAGACTTCACGGCGTAACATCCCAGAAAACAGTAATCTGCAAAGAGGCTGAGAGACCCCGAATATATATATATATATATAGGCCTACCGTTTCTCATAGGAATCGAACACCGGTCTACCTTACAAACAGTACGTCACTGACAACAGTGAAGAGAAAGTAACTGCTGTCAGTTGTAACCTGGGGCCCCATTACGGCCATTAGCAGGTTTCTGTGACAGACATCTTGGCAGTGAAAGGAGGCATTCGCCAGCAGCAATGCAAGAATATAATTTAAGCACGGGCCAAGCGTTTTAAAGCACAGCGGTAATTGTATGTACCAGCTGCTCTGCATTTTGCCAACACGGCGTGCTTGTGTGTTTCGTATGGTTTTAAGAATAAACTGTGAATATTTCCTAAACAGTATTAAGTTATTGGTCTTCGCAATGGAGAAGTATTGTGTTTCCTGTAAGGTACGAACTGATGTCTTATGCTTGATTTGATGAATATCAGTCTTCAGTGGTTTAACCAATGCACCGTCTAGTTTCTAATACGCACTCCCTGATATTACTGCACCAATATATTGGAAATACTGCGATTGCAGGCATACATGCTTGTCTTAATTTGGAACTATAAGGTCAGGACAATAGAATACGTGTTGGAACATGCAAGAAAGTTAAGGTCGATAACGCAGCTGACGAAACTGCTGCATGTAGGAAAAGGTGGAAGAAAACAGGTGGCCAAAAATTTCAGGGAATCATTAATCGTGCTCGTGCTCGCCAGGCTTGTGCTCGTAAATCTTCGTCCACACTACTTCAGTTGCTCGCCAGGCATCGGCGCGTGAGGATCCGTATATCAGGACCCTTTAGAATCTACTAGTTAGGTTACTATTTTCACATCCGTACGCTACATGAGGGCTATACGAAAGAAATTATCAATGTGGATATAAATGCCGAATCCTTTGGTCGATAGATGGCAGAACAAACAAAATAGACTGGATTATAAACTACACTTCTTCGGAATTAGGACCGAAAAGATATTTCACAGCTGAAATTCAGATATAAAATTTCGTTCATTAACCGCAATACATTTATATTGCTACTTAAAACACTATGGTAAATTAAAGTCTGAAAGTGATTTAACAAATTAAAGAATTGGGATTCTTTTGTCTCTAATCATTCCGCCTACACTCTTCGTTAATTTAACGCAAATTCGAGTGGAAATGACACAACCACTAAAAGAATTAAACTGTAAAATTCGTAACAATTGCAGCAAGTGGATTGTTACCCATTTCTATCCTCCATTGTCATCGTTGGTAACTGCATGCCACAATGAGATTGTTAGACCACTCTTCGGAGCGTCACACGCATTGCATTAGCAGCCACTGCAACGGAAATACGAAGGTAAACACTGCTGCTGGCCGCTTTTTTCTATTGTCAAAAAAGGCAATAATAACAATACAAAGTTAGAATCTAACTGCAAATTTTTGTGTCACGTCGTTCCTTTTATCTCTGTAGTAAGTGCGCGGCCGTCTACAGAGCACGAACACAACTGACTGACGGTCGTGGCTGCGATCAACTATTTGTTGTTGCCCCTGAGTGTGACTCTGGTTCGTCTGCAGCGGTCTAGAGCAAATGGATAGTAGCTTTCCTCTTTAAAGGTTATCAGATAAGTTTACTTAACGACGATTTCTCAACTGCATCGATTACACAACGTCGAATAGAAAAATAGCTATGAATAATTAATTGGAGGAAGGGGTCATAGCTTGTTATGATGTATACCCCAGCATCTGTCTAGAAGACTCAGGAAAACCAGGAAAATCCTGTCAGGGTAACTGGCATATGACCCGTCAGAATGAAGCGAATAAAGACATTTGAGATGACAGTTTTGCATTCTCCTTCGACAAGGTAATAATAATTCTGTTTGGGAACAAAATGACGCATGAAATATCTAAACTGAATGAAAACAAGAAAGTGTTTTGTCTTGCTGTATCTATAACCGGTTATCTGATTTAGAACAGGAATTACTTTGAATAAAGGCATCCTGTCCATTCACAGTTTTGTGAAACTCGAATCGACATTAATCGATTTTATATAAGAAAAAATCGCTCATCGTGTAACAAATCGGTACATGATTTAAACACATATCCACGTTAACATCTATAGCATATACCGATACTTAAATCATTTTTCGAGTTTGTTAATATTAAACCACAAAAAAAGTATTATTATGCAAAAGAACTCTTAGTATGACTGTCGCTGCAACAGTAGGTTCAGTATACTCGTACATAAAACGTATCTGTCGTTTCCTGACGCCGACTTAACAGAGAACACCAAATATTACTATAGAATTACTCTGTACTCTTACTTATATGTACCGTAGCAACGGTTGTTAAAATGGTGTGCACGTACTGCGGTAGAATTTCCAGGGAGAATTTTAATCCTCATTCCCAAACGTTTTATTATACAAGAAAACTTTAATTTCCTAATTTTGGTGTCCAAAGTTTTAGCTGTTATATGCCGTGTTACTGGTATGGAAAGCAACGCCACCTCGGGTGCTCGAAACTGGGGGACCTCCGCCTTATTTCTGCACGACAGTCATTTCAGATGTTTACATAAGAGCATTTCTAGCGCCTCCGGTGTATGACCTTCAATATCTGTTCCACCCTAGGCCCCAGGCGGCAAATTTACGTCTAGTTCGTGACAATGAGGCTTGATGAATTAAGAATTCGACATAACTCCCTTATACGATTACGTATGTAGACAAGCTGTACAAATAAATCTTTTCAAATAACAACACAGTCCTGTCTTTTTCCTACACCACTGCTGTAATTCACAAACGCCCTAAGTTGGTTGAAGCTAATCATCATCCAATATCTCGTTTCTTCCATATAAAAAGTAGAGTTACATCTGCACTTAATAACTCACTACACCGTGAAGACGTAGGGGGAGTGGAGGTATAGCTCCACCATTCTTAACCTCAGCACTAGATGGAAGCCAGTGGTCAGCTTCATGCCCCCTGCCGCTTTACCGTCGGTACCTATTGTAAAGTGGACAGACACCACGTTGCTAGGTAACCGACAGTTAAAAACCTCGCAACCAAATACACGCAAGGCAACAATGGGAGTGCAGCATCTTCTATGCAGTTGGCACCATGACTGTTGCTATGCGATCTCGCTCAGTAAACACGCTCCGAGGCAATAGTTTCAGACTTTCCAATATCAAAGCTTCATGTTATACATCTTCGGCAACAATTAAATTTCCGCTGGCATGAATGAGGCTGGAAAGAAAGGGGAATGGTAAGAGTAGATAATGAAAAGTTCAGTCCGGTGTGACATACAACACTTCAGTCCTCATTCACCTTACATGTTTCGATTCAAAAGAATCATCCTCAGAGGTGCACCACTACGATAAGGAAACACTGTCACATGAGATATTTTAACAATATGCACTTTAGATATGACTAATGCTCTCTATATAAATTTTGTTATCATGGTTGGTTTTGATGTTTGTCTTAGGCACTCACAATGGCGCTTCTTGAAGTAGTGGTGCGCCTCTGAGGATGATTGTTTTGAATCGAAACATGTAAGGTGAATGAGGACTGAAGTGTTGTAAACTCGTATGTCACACTGGACTGAACTTTCCATTATCTACTCTGTAATTAATAGTGTGATGGACCAAAATGAGACAAGTTAAATTAGGGAATGATAAGGGTTACCCTTCTCATCACAAGACAAGATAATGTCTCAACAGTCATAATCTTGTCACTGGTCCTTAAAAGTTAATTATGCTATCAGCAGTGCTGCACTGAAAGAAAAATGAAGAGTGAGTTGGTAGGATGGGGAAGTGGTTGTGACCTATTGAGAAATTATTCTGACACTTCACTCTGAAGGGTTGAGAAAAACACAGATAACCTCAGTAAAGAAAATCCAACTCCTGACTGAGATACAGACTATGGATCTCCTGAATACAAAGTGTTATCCTCACCACACTATGATGTGCAGTCCCACAGACCTCATCGGGTTGACATGTGTCCACAGAATTCCACCTGCTGCTACCTTGAAGCAACGTGGCTGTAAGGAAGTAAAACGGAGGAGATCAGGAAAATTTTGGAGATGCTGAGGAAAATAAGCAGGTTCAAGATCATACATACAGATTTATTCACATAATAAATACCAATACAATTTCAACATAATAAACTCAAAGAAGGAAGATCCTCCTTGGGAGGAACAGTAGCTAAGCTAATTTGTTACAAAGCCCCAAGGGTTCATTTCATGTCCACAGGGTTCTCCATTGCACCTTATCCTGAGATAGATGAATCTAGTCCTTATTCATTTTTCTCCAAGGATTAATAAATGCAGAATATCTGCATATAATTTGAAGCTTTTGTGGTAGTTACTTAGTTAGTTAGTTAGTTAGTTAGTTAGAGAGGGTAGGTTTCCCCATGCACCGCGACCAGTTTGATCTATTGTGCTTCCCTCTATGATATTCTACCAGTCTCTATACCCTACCGATAAATGGTGCGTACCATCAGTCCCGCCAAGCAAGCGAGTTCGGCCACTTGCTTACCGGTATCTATAATGCTTCCCCCATCTATCAGAGGCCTTAGAGACTACTGTTGGGCAGGAAACGTCCTGGAATTTGGCTCAGTGATCCCCTTTGGGGATATGAGGTTCTTTTACGTGCCGTAAAGTTACAACACGGGACACACAGCTTAAAGTCCCTCCCGGAGGACTTGTTCCCTGAATTTTTCCGCCCTTAAAAATTCGACGACCTCCACCGGGTATTTGAACCCGCGTACCACGAGTCATGAGGTGGGAACGTTACCTCTAGACTACGGAGGCCGCTAAGCTTTTGTGGTGACTGCATGCAATAAAGTCTTCTCATGTATTCAGCCACATCAATATGGAGTTAGTCTATAAAATATCAAGTACTAATTCTATAGTGACCCAATTAATTGGCCAAGGCCTTATTGCAGAATATCTGGCCATTAGTAAACATACTCTCCCAAAATCCATACTGATGATTCTGAATAATGTTGTTGCCTATGAAGTTAACCCTGAGAGGAGAATTTGGGTATAATTTTGCATATGTACTATATGTACTATGTGACTGGTTCTATATCTATGTATATGGATTTATGGAATATACAATAAATGAATGAATGAATGAATATATTTTACACCAGTGACATTCCTCAATAATTATTATGGTAAATTTTACCATCCTTTTCACAAACAGGTTCAACAGTAAATTCCTTCCACTGCTGCGGTAACTCTACTTCATTTCAAATAGAATTAAGTCTGTGAATATCAGAACATACTGTCTTACTTCCAGCTTGAATCAATTTTGCCAGGTTTGAACAATTGGCAATTCATACTTTCTTAGCTTGGCACAATAAACCCATCTTAAAACCATCAACCTAATCACTTTCAATCCAAATTTATCTATTAATGCTGCTAGGACAAAAATTTTGTTATCATTTATTTGAAGTGCTGAACAATTCAATCCTAATAGACACTACATGCGGCCAAGAAAATTAAATCTGAGCTACAATATTCCATCAGTCCTACAAACATGTTCTCTTTGTAATATGTTTCTTCTTCAAACTTCCTGGATTCAATTTCTTAACAGTAAAATTTGTCTTCAGCACTTCCATAAAAAAATCACATATTTTAGAAGACAAGGGAACCTGGTGGTGTCAGGATAAAACAGTGGACTCTCATTTAGAGGGTTCTGAGTTTGATCTGAAGTAAAATCTATTTTGCAGGTGCTGATTTTTTTTTTTGCTCACAGATAAAACTTTCACCTCTACCAAAGAAACTGCAGAAATAAAATCTCTTACAGGCACAGCAGAATTTAAAATAAATTAAATATATTCAATTTAAATTATAGAGTTCAGAATAACAGCTCTAATTTGGAACCAATGTAATGAAAAACTACAACTATATCATATTCCATAACAACCAACTAATGTAACAAATCATAAACTACTGCTTGCTAAATTGGAGTTGTATGGACTTAGAGCAAGCATACGCTCATGGATGAGTTCATAGCTTACTGGTAGAACTCAATTTGTGGAAATACAGCAATTAGATGAAAAGACCTCAAATATAAAGACATATACTTCGTCAAGTAAATAAATAAAATATGGTAGAAAATTTAAAGGGTTTTAAAAATAAATTAATAAGTTATTTATCATAAAACTGTTTTTATTCTCTACAAGAGACTTTTTGTAACAATGATTGATGGTACTTTGGAAATTCAAGTTAGTTTTGATAAGTTATAGAAGTAGGTATATAGATGGTCTTTGGACTGTTATCTTCACAAAACATATGATGCTATGTTTTATGTGGCTGACTTATGTTTTCGATGGATTAAATATATTTACTGCTTTATATTGATTTGCTGGGAGTTATCCTTGGTAGGTAAGCTATAGCATGGCTGCACCATAGCTCAAGTGGTTAGTCACTGGCTTTCCACCGTGGCAGTCCGTGTTTGATCCCGGGTCTGGTCAAGTGGTGCTGGGGCAGGTTTTCTCAGAGTACTTCGGTTTTCTT